GCTAGTGCGGACTCCGTGCTGTGCGGCTACACGCGGCACGGACTAGGTAGTTCAGACTGGGAAGCCTAGTCCGAACTACCTAGTCCGTGCCGTGTGTAGCCATGCGGCACGGAGTCCGCACTAGGGAACATTTAAAAATGGCGGCGCCCGGCTTTATGCAAATGAAGCCCGGGAAATTCAAATCCCGGGCTTCATTTGCAACTCCAGTTGCCTACATTACTACCCTAGTTCGAACTAGGGTGGTAGTGTAGACATACCCTCAGAGAGAGGCAGGAAAGGCAGGAGTAAGCAACTAGTCGAGTTCCTACTCAGTTACTCAAGGTAGTCAACTAGTTGCTTATATCCCTAGTCCAAACTAGGGCTCTGGCAGCAACACAGCAATGCAGAGACCTAAGTCAAAGTAATTATATCCTAGAATCCCTAATACTGCCCACTCCGTTGAAGGGAGTGTGGTGCACTGTGCGAAAACTTTTCAGATCTCCCTGTAAACATAAAGCAGCTCACTTTGTAAAAGGCTTGTTCAGTTCACTCTTCATTGCAAACCCAGGAAGCACTCTGATAGTGTGCTTCCAGATCGGTGATCAGAACAGCATGGGTTAACAGTGACCTAAACTCCTTCCATTTGCCAATAGGGCAGGTGGGGCTTTCATTTGCAATAGCATGGACTGCAAACTGATGGTATAAAGAGAACTAAGGTAGTTGTCCCCTGGAATTGTGGGATACTTCCTGATGACTCCCTGGACCTGAGTCAAGCAGGGCTGCAGTTACACTGCAAAACAATAAGGCATGGAACTTGGGTCCTGGCTTCACTCAAGCTCAGACTTTCTTCATCTAACTATGCATTAGTGCAATTGCAGTGGAGATGCAAGGGGCATTAGCCTTGAGCTCAGGCTCAAGCATGGTCTTACTTTGCATGGTAGATGTACAATAAGGCCAGTGGAAGGTTTTAAGTTGCTCTGTCATCATCAACAATTTATCTTGTCTCTTAATCAAGTTATTAAGATATATTCCAGAAAAGAACCCCTAAAAAGAAAACAGTCACTCTGTATAAATGACAGAGGGTAATGAAGTGTATATCACTCTCTTGCACACACAGAGGAAAGGCATGGTTAGCAATTTTGATTGTTAATGTTTATACCAATAGATCTGGTTTGCCAATTAAATTAAGGGAAGTATATGTTATTAAGGACCAACTGTTTCCAGTTTAACAAGCTGTACACTGTTTTGGTAAATTTTAAAATGTTCATCACTCAAAATGTATACAGTGTATGTATTTGTTATATTCACAAGTAAACAGTAATATCCTATCACCTTAGGCATTTATGACAAAATATTTTTTAAAAGACCATATGCTTTCCCCAAATCAGAAAATCAGTGGGAGATATCAAAATAATAACCCCAAAATGTTTCACCATGCCCACAATACCTGCTTTATTGTATCCCTGGCACTTAAAAAACAAACAAACAAACAAACAAAAACGAGGGGAGGCCCATACCATGTTTGGTGAAAGTCAACAAAACTGGGTGTTTCAGACCAACAAGATGGAATGAGTTCTCTCACTTCGGTTGTCAAAAGTCATCTGTAGATCATGGTGATTTGCAAGCACAAAGATTGGGAAGAGAAAGCCCAGGGCTATTTTATAGATAATGACAGAAGATAGGATAAAGAAAGTCCTATCCTCACATCATAAAGATAGCCGGTAAAGAAACAATATACTCCCTCAGATCCCTATGGAAACAGTGATTATGCTAGCCTCCAAAGATCAATGTCTAAACAAGATCCCCACTCAAAAGACATGCACACTCACCTTGGATCATAGGAGATAATGAGTGTTCTATGACAAGGTACATTTCTAAATGCCCTGTTTTCTATTCCAGCACACACAAAAGATCAATGGTGATGGAGACAATTAAATCTGGAGACATTCCAGAGGAACTGTGCATTTTTTAAATATAAAAACTTCAAAATGGGTGTGCTGTCATTAAAAATCAGTAAGAGTTCACAGCACTTTTTTAAAAAGTAGGGGTTTACTATAATATTTTGAACAAATTCTCCTCCCAGCCATTAGCATTCAGAGTTATGAATGTCTTCTGCTCTCTGTCCCGGAGTTGGAAGCATTTCAGCAATGTATTATTTAGTATGTATTTAGTTTGGGAAGGGCTTTTGGATTCTTCAGGATTAAAAGTAATA